GTACTAGAGTTTGCTTTAAATGGGCATTAGACCTCGGGGAGATGTTTATGGTATAGGCTAGGTTGGTTTCAACAAGCAGCTGCTCCAACCTTTCTTTGATGTTGAGATCATTTTCAATATTACAAAGCAAGGACATCAAAAAGCACAGTTGTAACAAACAGCCTCAACGAAGATGGATGCTGGGTATTGTGAATGATATTATGTGTGTTCTACTAGATAAAGTTTTCACTGCACCCACACAGTAGAGGTCTACAGTTAACTGTTTGAGGTAGCATTCATGTTTTAACAACAGCAAGGTGTTGTATTTCCGTGAAAGCTACCCAGTGACAACTCACTTTCAACTCGGAGGTTCAAAGCTTGAGCAGGCATTTATGGAACAAAACTATTTTTTTATTTAATTACAGTCAATGAATGTTTGACATTTTCTGGTTTCAAAAGTGTGGCACAAAACTTAGTTTAAAATACAAACTCTTTACATAGGAACTTTTAAACAGCAGTCTTTTACAAACCAAGTCACAGGTAGACAGCATCCCCCCAAAGTCTATCAGTGTCCTAACCAGCAACACCCACTCATCCTTTTCTTGGATTTAACTTGCCCTCGGGGAATGAAAACTGGGTTGCCCTGCCTAGCTAACTGCACTCAGTTCTGATCCCAACTGTCCACACTGTTAGTCCCTCTCCCACTGAGAGTCAAATCCCTATCTTTGAGAGCCAATTCACTATCTGTCCCTCCTGACAGATACGCGCCGCTCAGACAGAAAGTCCCTATCTGCCTGTTAAACTGTCAGCAGCTCATTTAAATTCCACAGTCACTCTCCTGATTGGCTGATTGCCTCAGCTGCTATCACTGCTTCAGCTCCTATGCTATTATTGATCTACCTGGAAAGTAATGGTCACCTGGCCTTGGTCTGCTGTTCCAGGACACTGATGCACAAAAGACCATTTCTTGCCATTTACTTAATGCAAAATTAAGATTAGCATTTCAGTCCCCAAATATGAGAATGTATCGAGAGTAGTACACTCGCTCTAGAGCTCTTTTATTCATCTCATTGCTGCTAGATTAGTGTACAATGGATAACTGCAATTTATCCGACATTTATAGTCCTATTTAGCTAATGTTTTTGCTATTCATAACCTAAGCATTTTATGTAAGCTTCCTTTTTTTGACAAGTTTGCAAAACATCTGTGAAATGTGTTCCTATGTAATAAAGAGTTTACTTGCTTCAAGGAGTTTAATTATCAGGTTTATAAAACAGAAGTTAAAAAAACAAGAATGAGATTCTGGGTGGAGTTACATATATTTGGAACTCATCAAAGTTAATCTGAGAAAGTAATTTTTTGTGATTTGATTTGACTTTACTTCGGTTGTGATCTCTTTGTCTAGGATAGTTGCAGGAGAAGTTAAAGCTAATTTCATCCATGATGGCAAGGGGCAAAATACAGGCTGAAATCTTTTTAAGCAATCTATAAGCTGTTCCAGGGGCCTTTTTTAGATGAAGAGTGGAACAAACATTATTTTAATAAATGCTGATGGTGCTATGCCACTTGGTATGTGTACATTGAACATTATAAATGCTGCTACCCACGCCCACCTTCAACGCTTTCACTCTGGTGTCTTACATTAGCAAGTATAATGTTCTGAAGACAAGTGTGTGAAATACAGGTGAAACTCAAAAAATTAGAATATCGTGGAAAAGTTCATTTATTTCAGTAATTCAATTTAAAAGATGAAACTAATATATAAGATAGACTCATGACATGCAAAGCGAGATATGTCAAGCCATTATTTGTTATAATTGTGATGATCACGGTGTACAGCTGCTGAAAACCCCAAATTAGCAATCTCAGTAAATTAGAATATTAAATGAAATCAGGAAAACAAGGATTTGCAAATAAAGCAATCCTTCCCAGCACCAGCACCCAAAAGCTGCTGAGAACTTTTGAAAGAAAACATTCACTAATTGATGTGCAAAAGTGGAGAACGGAACTCAAGATTCGAAAAATGAGAAAGTGAAAGAAACAAAAATGGACAGATTCTCCTATCCCATGCTATGACTGATGAGTACTGCTGCCATAATGCACTTGGACTCAAAAAGCCAACTGCAGTAAAAGTAAGTCAAAATAGAATAAATAAGAAAAGAAGAGCTTGGGAAAGGTAGGCACCAAGAGTTTGGGTGTATTGATTGGAATGAGGAACACAAAAGAAACCTCCAGAGAATCCCATCAGAACTCTTCTTGCATCCTGCTCCTTAGAGACAGAACTTTCAAAAGAGAAAGAAACACTGAAGAGCAAAGCTCTTTATTTCATCAGCACCTCTTCTTCCCAAAGCACTGTGATTGAAGAGCACTGATAAAATTATTCCCTCGGATTACAAAATAGATTTGTAATCTGGTTTGGAACCCTCCCTTTCACATTTCCCCCCCTATAGTAAGCTTAAATACATAGTTCCAGTTACAGATAGGTAGCCGTGTTGGTCTGCCATAGTCAAAACAAAAAAAATTCCTTCCAGTAGCACCTTAAAGACCAACTAAGTTAGTTCTTGGTATGAGCTTTCGTGTGCATGCACACTGAAATCTGAAGAAGTGTATCTGAAGAAGTGTGCATGCACACGAAAGCTCATACCAAGAACTAACTTAGTTGGTCTTTAAGGTGCTACTGGAAGGAATTTTTTTGTCTTAAATACATAGTTTGACTTTTGAGCAGATGTACTGTAATTGTGTCTTTGACACCCACAACCCCAAAGCTTCAGGGGACATTGCTTTGGTTAAGGGCATGTTGGACAGATCCCGCTTCACCTTGAACAAAATTATTACCCCTCCAAAGCATTCTGCTTGGGATTTATCTGGATCCCTGCACACCACTAAGATTAACATATTCTTCATATAGCTGATTTATAACTATTGATATACTTAGTAGATAGCATACAACTACTAATATTGTTTAAATTAAAGCTTCTTACTGCATTGCAAATGTTTTAAAGAAAATTTTAAACATTTAAAAATTGTATGTTTCAATATATTACAATTTATTTCTTATTCCCAATGGTTTATAATCCTCTCACCTTGCTGGTTTCATTACATAAATGTTACATGTCTAAATAATATGTACTGTTGATGTAAAGGTAAAGAAAGGTAAAGGTGGTGCTGTGGTCTAAACCACAGAGCCTAGGGCTTGCCAATCAGAAGGTCAGCGGTTCGAATCCCCGCAACGGGGTGAGCTCCTGTTGCTCGGTCCTAGGTCCTGCCAACCTAGCAGTTTGAAAGCACGTGAAAGTGCAAGTAGATAAATAGGTACTGCTCTGGCGGGAAGGTAAACGGTGTTTCCGTGTGCTGCTCTGGTTCACCACATGCTTGCCACATGACCCGGAAGCTGTACGCCGGGTTTACTGGGCTGGGTGTTCATCAGTATGCAGATGATACCCAGCTCTACCTCTCTTTTAAATCAGAACCAGTGAAGGCAGTGAAGGTCCTGTGTGAGTGCCTGGAGGCGGTTGGAGGTTGGATGGCGGCTAACAGATTGAGGTTGAATCCTGACAAGACAGAAGTACTCTTTTTGGGGGACGACGCGGGCAGGTGTGGAGGATTCCCTGGTCCTGAATGGGGTAACTGTGCCCCTGAAGGACCAGGTGCGCAGCCTGGGAGTCATTCTGGACTCACAGCTGTCCATGGAGGCACAGGTCAAATCTGTGTCCAGGGCACCTGTTTACCAGCTCCATCTGGTACGTAGGCTGAGACCCTATCTGCCTGCAGACTGTCTCACCAGAGTGGTACATGCTCTGGTTATCTCCCGCTTGGACTACTGCAATGCGCTCTACGTGGGGCTACCTTTGAAGGTGACTCGGAAACTACAACTAATCCAGAATGCGGCAGCTAGACTGGTGACTGGGGGCGGCCGCCGAGACCATATAACACCGGTCTTGAAGGACCTACATTGGCTCCCAGTACGTTTCCGAGCACAATTCAAAGTGTTGGTGCTGACCTTTAAAGCCCTAAACGGCCTTGGTCCAGTATACCTGAAGGAGCGTCTCCACCCCCATCATTCTGCCCGGACGCTGAGGTCCAGCGCCGAGGGCCTTCTGGCGGTTCCCTCATTGCGAGAAGCAAAGCTACAGGGAACCAGGCAGAGGGCCTTCTCGGTAGTGGCGCCCGCCCTGTGGAACGCCCTTCCAGCAGATGTCAAAGCGATAAACAACTACCTGACATTCAGAAGACATCTTAAGGCAGCCCTGTTCAGGGAAGTTTTTAACGGGTGATATCTTACTGTATTTGTGGTTTTTATGGAAGCCGCCCAGAGTGGCTGGGGAGGCCCAGCCAGATGGGCGGGGTATAAATAATAAATTATTATTATTATTATTATTATTATTATTATTATCCCTCGACCAATAAAGCGAGATGAGTGCCCAACCCCAGAGTCATCCGCGACTGGACTTAACGGTCAGGAGTCCCTTTACCTTTACTAGTCACTTGTACTAGTGAATTAAGATTCCAAATGCTCAGATGGGCAAAGACCCTACTGAGGCCACTACTGATCAGTTACTTTTAGGGAGTATAGTTCTAATAGTAATTAGCATTGGGGGGGTTTCTCCCTCCCCCTACCCTTTCTAACTTCACAAAACATAGGACTTAAAAAATTCAGGTCCAGGTTTATCTACAACTATGGCAAAATCATTCAACATATAACATTAAGAGCTCATGAAAGATAAGCTCATTTCTGTTTAGTTTGCCTATACTTGTCAAGCATGACATTTTATTACAGGTTTTTTTTTTAAAATAGAATTTTATTGCCTACAGAACTGTATATTTATTTAGGTAATGGAAATAGCTAGATGACTTGCATTGGAATTTAGAAAGTATAAATGGATATTCTGATTTTAAATTTTGTCTGGCATCAAATGTATCTTTGAATTGTTGGGGGGGGGGACTGAAAAATGTTTGCATTCTTTCCCAATATGTAAATTCATTCTTTTATGTTTCCTCATTTATTATGCTTACGTCATCAGGAAGTTGAGGTATGTTTGCTTCTTCTTGTTAACAATTGAATACCTAAGAGGTACTGCGTGGCATTTTATATACAGTCAACATTTTAAATAATGGTTTAGCCTCTTTGTTCCAAAACTTGTTCATTTTCTGGTCTCTGGTCTATGAAATAGACTGGAAAGTATTGAGCAATAGTTTGTTCTGTTTGGAAACTATATCAGGTGGTATTCCACTTAGCTTTCTTCAGAGTAGACCCACAGAAATGAGCAAAATGTAGCTGAATGCTGCCCATTAAACTTCTGTATTGTCAGCCCTGGTTTAACATCTGGGTACAAAATGGCTCTAGGCAAATTGATCCAGTTGGGAAGGAAGATCAAACTGGTACAGGCATTTAATCACACAAACTTCACTAAGTGAGCACTCCTTGGACTTTTCCAGTGCTCAGTTAATAAAGCAGTATTAGCACAATAAATGCCGTTGTTAATCTTTATTTATTTAAAATATCCATAAAGTCCCTCCCATTAACATAATATTACCATGTCAGTGTATGAGAAAGCATGCAGTTTTCTACATGCTAAAAGTTTATATATCAGAGAAGTTCTCTAAAAACAAAAACAAAACCCCCCACAGTTCCCTTATCTATGTATCCCCCCCCTACACAAACATGCTTTTATTCCTAAGAGACTTTGAGTTGAATTGAACATAGCATTAAAACTAAGGTCCCATCAGTGCCCCTCCTCCCCCTGTGTGCTCCCTAATTCTGTTGTTGGAGTTCCCCCAACTTTCCAGAGCAGAACTGGGGACAGCATTCTCATCACACTAGATGGAATCATTGTGCTGCCTTCCCCTACAGTGCAGTGGGTTAAATGAATATGTTCCTCTCAATTTAGATAATGTAAGGTAAGTAATGAATTGCTTGGGGAAGAAAAGACACTTAAGAAATACTAAAGCATTGAATTTTGTATAGGAATAAATTAAAAGCAATTAAGCTTAAAGCGGGGGTCAGGTCTAATAATACTTTTTGTGAGAGTGAAATATGCTTCTGCAAGTCATTTGTTCAGTTGAGCAGTAAAACTTCATAGTAGTGAATCCACTGCATTAGAAGAAGCCCTGGGATGCAGAAGCTGCTAAAATAAAATGGTGCTATTTTAGAATATGTACATTGAAAATATCTTCTTATTCTTAACTAGCTGTCATTTCCTGCTCCGTGTGATTAGATCTATTTCCCACTCCAGCTCACACTTTTTAAATACCTCTCTGCCCTTTTGTAAACCGCTTTGAGGTTTTATTACAATCAGGAGGTATGTAGATCTTATGGAAGGGGAAAAAACCCATTAGTATCACCTTCAAAATATGCCTAATGCCATATAAATTAGCAAGTTGTGCACAAATTAAGCAAGCTTTGTCTGTAGGCTTGCAATCTAACAAAAAGGCACGATGATATTAGGGAGGAAATGGAAGAACGGTAAAAAGGGGTTGAAGAGCAGCAGTTGGGAGAAGCAAGAATGTAAAGGAGTTTTTACTTCAATGTGAAAGAGAGTCAGCTGTTAAATGGAAGAGCACTCCAGGGAACGAGAAATGGAAGTAGATGGGGAATAGAAAAAGTGTACTTAGGTTTAACTAGGAAATTGGTACCTTTAGAGTGAAGGCTTTAGGAAGAAGTGTGTATAGAAATAAGAGATGATAGAGAGGGGAAAAGATAATGCAAAATTATTTAAATACAAGTAGCTTAAAGCACTGATGAGAAGGAAGAGGAACCAAGTGACAGGAGCAGTATAACCAGAGTGGGGATGGGAATTGCATGAGCTGAAAGGCAAGTAGAATATATTAGGCAGGTGGCAGAGTTGAATACAGACTATAGAATTTTGAGAGCAGAAACAGCAATACCAACAAGAAGAATGCTACAATTTATCTGTGCAGAAAATGGAGGAAATAATAATGACCATGAATAAGTGCAGTCTACTTCATTTGGTAGTGAATGGTTTACCTTAAATGTTAAGACTTTGAAAGACCATGGACATATGAAGGAAATGAGAATGCCTAGATTTTAAGCTTGAGGAGAAAAAACAATATGAACACGCGCAAGAGAAAGTTCTGCATAAGAGGAAAAACCAGAAGCTCAATTTTGACCCAAATTAAGTTTGAGAAAATGGATATTATTCATATGAATACAAGGGTATCAGAAAACCGCAGGGGGTTGGAACATGAAAAGAAGAAATGGCTTGGGTGTAGGTGAGTATAGTTGCAACTCAATATAAATGTGGTATGTGAGAGGAAATCAGCAGATAAAAGAGCTAAAAGGGTGAATGTCAGGGATGAAAAGAAAAGGGCCCAGTACTCAGTTCTTTCAGAAAGGATAAGAGGTGGTTAAGCAGAACCATTGTTAGAAACTCTGAAGTAATGACAAGAAAGTTACTGCTTAACTCCAATACTCAAGCAAGCAATGGAAGTGGGTCAGTCAGCTGGACTAGAGGCTAAAGAACCAGAAGAAGGAATACAGAGAAGAGATATTGCTGCAATAAGATTACTAGAAATAGAAGTGAGAGAGTGAAAAGAACTGAAAACCAATTTGAAAACGACCTATGGAAAGACTATACTTTCTAGAATTATCTCTGTACTGTCAAACAAGGGCTGTAATCAAAACATTTGGCCAAGTGAACTGTGAGGAGCAAACCTTTTCTGAGCTGGAAGCAAGTGGGCAGTGTTGCATTCATGTAGCTGTTACTTGCTATTTTTTGACCCTTAAGCTTTTTTTTCTCTAAGAGGGTTGGAGGAAGAGAAGATAGGCTGAGCAGCTTAAAAAAAAAAAAGTGACAACATTTGGAGGAGGGAAAGTAAGACATTGGAAAAGAGCAGTATCCTCAAGAAAGAGAGGAACAATGAGAGAGAGTGGGGAATGAGAATCAAACACTTTTTTTGTGTGTAACAAGGGTAGACTTACAGGAATGAAAAAGAGAACATATAGAGAAAAATTGCAAATATGCAATAAAAAGGAATGCTAGGGCAATGGATGTCAGGAAGCAAGAGAAAATTGAGTGAGGGGCATGAGTAGTAGAGTGGAAAGAGAATCATGAAAGACAAATATGAGTGAATAATCACAGAAAAAGAAGCAAATAAGGAAACATCAGCCAATACAGGAGAGGAGGAGGAGGAGGAATGTAGATGGGGGTAAAGGGAATGGATTTTTAAAATCTGTTTTAAAATGCTTTCACCAAAAACTTCTGGAGGAAAGGATGAAAGGAGCAAGTGAAGTTATACAATGTCCACAGCAGCGGGGGACCGAAATGGAGAGAGAGATGAAGAGAAGCTCTCAGAATCAATTGACTGAAGGTTGCAAAAGGGACAAGTAGCAATCATTTTGCTTCATTAAGAGATAATAATTTGTTTTTTATTTGAACAAAACGATGTCCAATATTAGTGATACTCAGAGTAGACTCACTGAAATCAATAGATTTTATAACTTAAATCCATTGATTTCAATGGGTCTACCCCAGAGTGTATTGGATATAATCCAAGATCACTAAAATTACCATGTGCAGTATGACTAGACAATAGCAAGGCAACTTTAATTCATTTTTAAAAATGTGGATAAATGTAGGGGATGGGTAATGTACTAACGTTGACTAGTTAAACTGTTAAATTAAAGACAGCTCACTAAATCCTTTGCTTGTTAAGTAGTTGAAAATATTGGGTTTTTAAAATGTCATTTGCATGCCACCCTTCATGACTTCTTTATTATCCCAGAGTGCTTTACAGGAGAGGAATACCTAGTAAAACAACAACAACAAACCTGTAGTATTTTTATCATCTCTAGCACAGAAATATGAGGCCTACACCCAGTCAATTCTCTCCCATGCAGGATATGCACACCCAGGAAGAGCCATGCTTACAAAATCTGGTATTGTGAATTGGAATCCTGATTGTGCATCTTGAGGAGGAAGAGGAGACTTAGCTAATAGCAGCCAGTGTGTGGCCCTGTTGAGAAAGGAAGCAACCTCTGCCTCTGCTTGTCTTGTGCTCACTACTTGCACAATATTACAGTTCCTTATGCATAGCTCTTAAACAGATGCCTTACCACAAAGGCCAGTTTCACAGACTTCATTTGTAAATATGTTGCTAGTGCTGATTTCTATAGGTATACATGCCAGAGACAGAGGAAAGGTCACTTACCACTAACATGTGTTATGGGTAAAAGAACCTTTGCTATCAGATTTAGTCACTGCAATTCATAATGCCTTTGCTTTGAATATGAATATCAGCAAATTAAAAAGCCCAGCTGTAATATGAAGCATTATTACTTCCAGAGTTTTCCTCTAACTCAGATATAAGCCAAGTTAACCCTCTTCCTTTCCCAATCCATTCCAGGTATAAATTTTGGAGTGGAGTAAGGGAGAAAAGTGAGCTGGTTATGGGGAAGGATTTCAACCATGTCATTCTCCACATTATGTCATTGGGTGTGCAATGATATCCTGAAAAAGTTTGGGATTGCACTCAAAAATAACCAAGCTCTCTGCTGACTTTAAAAGAAAATTGGTTGGGCTAGATGAGCCCAATTCCAAATGAAGCCGAGAGGAGTTTTCCCTTCACTGGTTAGGCTTCTTTGAAATTCCCTGGATATATACACAACCCTGGAGCCACTAAGATAGCACAGTATTTTGAAATATATCTTCATTTTCTGTGTTATATTTTGTGTGTATATGTTTGAAAGCAACATTTTAAATTTTTAAACTTTGTTTTATCTTGAGGCCAAACAGTAAATGGATTACAGAAAAAGAGTTTGCATGTTTGTTTAACAAAGAAATAAATAAAAGACTTGCCCAAAAGAATACCTACATTTCATTTTAACAGTTTAACTGTTTTCACTCCTCTTTTCTTCCCTTTAGGATGATTATTTCAGAAACTGGAATCCAAACAAGCCTTTTGATCAAGGTAAAAGAAATATTATATTCACTCTATAAAATTGCTTTGTTTTATAAGTATCAATATCCATATTGCTTGGTTTCCCAACAACATAGCTTCACCTATTGGTTTAAAACAGCTACTGACAGGAGCAGCCAGCCTGGCTTATTTCATAGAAATTGCTTACAAGGGTACCTGCACATTTTGCTTCACAACTTCCTTTTTCAGGAGGGCTAGAACCTTAAAAACACTAAAGAAAGCAAATAAATCTTAGCATCTAGATGCTCTGCCCAGGAGCACCAGTGAAGGCCTTCACAGTTATCGTAGTGACTGTGGGCGCTAGGTTGGTGACCCCAGATTAAACAATAAAGTTCCATTCATTCAACTATACGGTAGTCTCACTTAATTCATATTATTACAAAGGGTCAAAGTAGTTGCAACATGGAATTAGGATCTTCTGTGATACTTCTTTTACTCATTAGCAGCTCAGTGGGAATGCTTTGAAAACTGAGAAAGTGGTGCTTTGGAAGAGAGTGTCTAATTTACTGTTGTGCCTTTCCCCAATATAAATTACTTTCCCAAGAAGACTGGTGCTTTACATGTTCTGTAAAGATCTCATTTTTTGCAGTAACCTTTCTATGATCTCTCATCTGTATTGGAATAGTGTTGTGAAAGTAAAAAAAAAATTGCACTGCAAAAAACCATGCATATTTGTTATATTTTGTGATTCTTTCGCTTGTAATATCTTTAAATACATTTTGTCAAAGTTGCCAGTTTATGATGAAACAATTGTGCCAAACATGGCTTTAGAATTTCAGCAGCATCATCTGCTGTATTTTCATTTTTCTTGCTACATTTCTGTTCTTTTTCCTTTTCCCCTTTTTGTGTGCTTGTGTGCAAGAGATATTTTAGCTTGCTTCCTCATCTGAAAATAAAAGGTCACCGTAAACAATAGTGTAATGCTACCCCTGGAAAGACTGCTGTTAAATGCAATTTTTGTTTCATTGTGAGTGCAAAAAAATCTCCCACAGCAAAGAGTACACCCATCAAATGTGCTAAAGGAAAAGGTGTCAGAGCTGTCTTGCTCTCATGTGCAGTATACAGAAATAAAAGAGTCAGTGCTGTGATGCAGTACCATATGTTGGCAAGGAAATACTGGTAAAGCGTTGATGAAATCTATCACTCAAGAAAACAATGTTACCAAATGATGGAATCATTAACCTAGCAGACCAAAACTCACCTGCCTTGAGGAAAGTAAAATGGTAAAGGAATATCTGGCCTGCCATTACTCTATAAATTCATATAGCCCAATAATAACCTGTCTATAACGGTAACATATGCCTGGATTCGTAAAGAATATAGAGCAGCACAGTATATTCACGATCCATTTCTAGTCAGATCAGTTTTGGTAAATCACAGATTCATGGAAGCCACAAGTACTTTAGGAAAGGTATTTAATAAATTCTGATTGGCTGGAGCACATAGAGATTCTACATGTGGGTAGTTTAGAAGTTTATCATAGCATCTAGAATTTCCAGAGACTCTACAGCAGTTTCTCAAACTTTTAGATCATCCTCCATCCTTAATGCCTGACTCTGGCTTCCGACCCTTTTATCTTTGTGCTGTCATCTGTTGTACAGATGAACATGCCAAGATCCTTAGTTATAACCTCATTTATACGGCCTGTTGCCGCTGCTTGTGTTGATCTGTGGGATACTAATCTGAACACTGGCACTGTAAGAGGAATAGAACATATCTCTAATCCTATCCATAAACTATAGTCAGGAAAATACCGTTAACCACAAAGTGACTACTCTCTCTAGCTCCCTTCTTTTCAAATCATATTAGGATGTTAGGAAAGTGGGGGTGCTGTCACAGTCCTCTGTCAGGGATATATAATGCACCCAGGTCTTGGCTGGAGGTCAGGAAGGCATTACTTGCTTAATGAACATACATATCCATGTTCCTTTCAAGGGGGAAACCACCATATTGAGAACCCCTTCTATACAGGGTTGTGCAGCAGATTCTTTCCAGATCTCATACGGAGAAGATAATAAGGCACATTAGCAGTCCTGCTGGGGTTGTACATATCAGTTTCTGCCAGTTGAGTAAAAAGCAAAGAATCTGCAACCATTCAACTGGAAAGTAGTTTAAGTGCATATTATAAACTGATGGTACCACACTAGATTTCTAACAATGTGACGGCCACATTTCTCCCTTAGAACTTAACATTTCTGCTGCACCCAACAGCACGGCAGAAGAATACCATTCTGCACTGGTGTCCTGAAAACCCTTAAATAAGAAAAGAAAAAAAGCTGCTTGAAATAGTTTTTCATTAAGACTCTGTTACTAGCAAGGAGAACATGTGGGACAATTAACCTTCCCTGGGTCTTGCCTCATTAAAATTTTAGCAGATGCTATTGATCATCTTTACACTGCATGGTGTCTACTGCAAACAAGCACTGCTGGCACTCTGGCATATATAAGAGGACAGCTTCCCAGGCTGGTGACCAGCATTATAAAGCATGCAGTTTTGTAAATTACTATGCAGTAACCAACCAGTTCCATTACAAATTTTAAAAATCCCTGACATTTCACTGGCACATTACAGACAAATAGTATTCTCTTCCATATTTATTGCTGTATTATGTGATGTACATCACAGTAGTTACTGTCCAATATGTGTCTGATGAAGTGCTATAAGTATCCTTGAGATCCAATCATTTCTACAAAAACAGCTGGAATGTGCTGTTGTTCTGCCCTGGAATTTATCTCCTGTGTGTTTCTGGATGCAACTTAAGAACAATCCACTCATGCAAGTTTCAGGTTTGCCACTACTGGAATACCAATGCAATACATCTCTGTTTGGATTAGATGTTCAACAGAATGTCTGTAGCCTACCTAAATCCCTCCTTAAGCCTTGTGTTTCCAGGATTTAAATTTGTTTTTTTTTTTCCACTGTTGATTGGCACAGGAATTACTTTCCTCTGTGGACATACAATGATTTGAATGTGCAATTCTTAATGCATAATTATCTCATTCATGCAAAGAAGGTATTTGTGAAAAGGACTCGCCCATTTTCTAACCGGTACATAATCTCAAGCTTCCCGGCTGTATTATGTGGTGATTGAATGTGCGTGTGTAATGGTGATGTGTGTTGGGGTGAGTTCAGGAGGGCTCGGTTTCATTCTTTACTGAAATGTGACCATTTTATATAAGTAAGCCTTATGCTCCTGCATTGCATTGCTGGTTTTTATTGTCTTGTATTTCCTGGGATGCTAATGTATTTGTGCTCTTGGAATTCTAATGATGTCAAGTTCTCTCTCATATTTGTAATTGCCTTACTTTCAAGCTGCTAATCAGTTTGCTGTTATTGTGAACGCCACGTTTCCTCTCCAGGGCTTCTAAAGCTAGTCTGCACATTTTCTCCCCCTCTCTCTAAAAATCCAAAGCACAGCTATTGCACTCTGACATATAATCAGTGACCTGTTTAAAATTATTGATTTAAGCTGTTCAGAAATCAGACTTCATAAAGTGGGCAGTTTTAATACAGATAATTAACTCTTGGCAGTTAGGTCCTGTTACCTTAGGCCAAAATAAAGCGGGGCAGGGAATGATAGTGTTGTTGATACAATGCTACACAACATGCATCTCTGTATGTCCTAATTGTTAAGAGTTTCATTTCAAAGCCTCCATTGTTGGATGGGCCAAGTAATCCTTCTTCCATAGTTTCCCATCATCAGAATACCACTCTGTGAGCTCCAAGTACATGTGAAATGAAGTCAGAGAAAAGGGCCCCATGTCATTTGTCTTATAGTCTCCCTATATGGGGTTTTATATTGGTGGTGGTGTGCAGTGAATGGGAGTTGTTATGCCATATCCTATGCTCTGCCATGGCGATATTGGTAGGATGGAAGGTGACTGGAGGTGGCTACTTTGTTTTGGGAGGTAAATTCCTTACACCAGGTTGGCAGCTTGTCTAAAGCTTTGCAGCCATGTTCTGGGTGCATAGAAGATTTTGCATAAGTGTGCTCTTATGCTGTCCCATCCACAGCTCACCCCAATATCATCAACATACATTCACTGGTGAAATAGCTCTGCAAGCAGAGTATTCTACAGGTATGTCAGAGGAGTTCTACTGGCAGATCTGTCAGGACAGTAGCATATTTCGAGTACCACCAACATAATTAGGCTTCTGCCACTTCGCAATATACCTCTGCTGGTGGATAGGACTGCACCCTGAAAGTCTCACATAATTGATCAGTAATCAGCAAAAGTACATAGTTCTAGTTTCAAAGTCTGGGTTCATTTTAATGCTGGGAATGTGTATTCTTGACTGCTCGCTGTGACTAGGAAGTAGGATTGGGGGATAGGAATTGCACAGGTGGCAGGTTTGCCAACTCGAAGTCTTATTCCTGAATTTAAAGTGGAGGGGGAAAAGATATTGGCAGAACATGTTTATAGTCATAAAATGGAAGGGATTTATAGCCAACAATTAAGCTATTAAAATAACCATTAGGATTCTATTCTCCTCTGAGATTACAATATTGACTCACTTTTCTCTCCTTAGAGAATGCGGGAATTCTTTCACTTGATATGTGAGGACTTGACAGAGAATGAGAGAACAGGTACACAGGCAGGAGGATGAAAGGGAGATTTTTCTTCCACTCTTAGCCCCGTAGACTAACAATGGCACCCAGTAGAGATAGAGAAAACTCAAGGGTTGGAAGCTTAGAAGCCGCAACACTCTATGCTCTTTTGCTCTTGGACATAACACATTCAGAATTAAAGATAGCTCCAGGGACTGGAAAAGAAACCAACAATCTGTACTTTGTCCAAAGCAGTTGTGGATTTGAGCCAAAAGAGAAGCGCACAATGGAGGTTTCTTCTGATATTATGGAACGTAGCAGTTACAAACAAATGCAGATGGCCCACACTTTCTCCATGCTTCCACATCTTTCCTCCTTCATTCAGAATAAAAGGTACAGATTTATATTGTAAGCCACTCTGTGATCCGTGGTATAGAAATG